GAAAGATCGACGGGGCCAACGGGTCTCCTTGTCGGACTGAGCGGGATATCGGATAACGATCTGATAACAGTCCGTTGACTTGGACACAGCCGATTGCATCGCTGTAAAGTATACGAACCCATTTCCTAAAGTTCGGTCCTACACCCATTTTCTCCATACTTGCTTCCATGAAATCCCAATTCACTTGGTCATAAGCTTTTTCAAAATCAAAGAACAATATGGCTGTATTTATCCTTCTTTCCCTACTCTTCCTTACCGCCTCGTTCAATATTAGCACGTTGTCTAGAATGTATCGACCCGGGATGAAACCTCTTTGGTCAATGTGAAAGCATTTGTTTGTTATTTTGGTGATCCGGTTGGAAAGGGTCTTCAGTATAATTTTATATAGGAGTGTTAGCAGTGAGATTGGTCTATAATTTTTAATGTCTGCTTTGTCGTCTTTTTTATACAGTAGTGTGACCACACTGCAGCTGAGTAAGTTCCCTAGTCCCCCTCTGGTCCAGCAACCGTTGTAATAGTTCAACAGGTCCAATCATAGAAGGGGCCATAATTTCTCCCAGAAGTCTTTCGTCAGTCCATCTATCCCTGGTGTCTTGCCATTATTCATTCCTGTTAGGGCTTGGTGCAATTCTTTGGTTGTGATAGGTTTGTCTAGTTCTTTCGCTTGTTCAGTTGTTATCGTCTGCTCCAGGTACTGGAGCATTTTTCTCTTCACTTCTTTTGTGCTGGGTGCTATTGGTGTAGGGGTTTTAGACTGGTAGAGATTTTTGTAGAAATCCTTTGCTATCTCTAGCATTCCTTCACTGTCCGTTCTTAGAATCTCTGGGGCTGTAATAGATATGAGGCCTTCAATCGTATTAGCTCTTGAGTTGGCCTTGATTCGGGCAAAGAAGTGCTTAGTCATTGAATCGCTGAGTTCATATTCGCACATTCTGGCTTATTTGTAGCCCTTTCAAATCCCACCATTTCCACATTGCCAATTCCTCCCATGCCTTCTCAAAGATTTCATTGTAAAGTGGTGAGGAGGGGTTCTCAATCAGGTTGGTTTCAGCTATTTGCAGGGCAAATTCCAAAGTTTGTCTCCTTTGCTTTCTCTTAGAGGCAAGTTTCCTAGACATTCTGGCTGCTTCTAACGAGAGAGTAGAGTAGCTCTTTTGAAACCAGTCCCACCGGGTTTCCGTGCTTAGCCGTGCTGCTTTCTGCCCTGCCCAAYAATCATGTATTTYCTTTTGAAAGGTCTGAMTGAGCAAGAGTGCATTKYTGAGTTTATGGAAGCTGRCCCCTCTTTTGACWASTTGGTCAAAGCACACTACCAACTCAATTGGCTTGTGATCCAGCCCTGTGTMTGAGGCCAGGGGTAASATCTCTRCATCCTTTACTGTCCCCATCAGTGTTTCTRACACCAAGAAATAATCTATTCGTGAGAAGGCGGTGTGGTGTGCATGGTTTTTCTTGACCAGCGTGAATGCTCTTTTGACTGGGTGTAGAGTTCTAAATGGATCGACCAGGTTCTGGTCCAGCATCAACTCTTGGATTGGTAGTGCCTCTGTTGGACTGGGAGTGTTGGAGGTTTTTTTTCCTTAATTTTTTTTTTTTTTTTTTTTTAAAACATAACCTTTTGGTTCTGGCTCCTTTTCCTTTCTGGTGTGCGTCAGTACGGTTCCTTTTCCACCGGCAAGTCAAAAGAAAATACATTGAGGACACTCTCACGCTCCTCCCCCTTCTGGTGTGGAGGCCCGAAGGACGGCATTGATTACTTTCATGAGGAAGGATGTACCCTCCTTCACCCCTGCCTAAGTTAGCCTGCACTATTTTCCTCCTACTTTTTGTTAGTCCTGGTGTACAATTTATCCTATTTCCTCCGCTTTTTCCTATTTGTTAAGTTCCTTTGATTTTTCCTTTTTTTTTTTTTTTTGCCTTGTCTCTTTGGGAGTAAGCGGGTCTGTCAGTTCTTGAGAGAAGGGCGGTGGAGGCACGAGACCCCAACCCCAGTTTCAGAGGGCCTTATCACCTGACCACCTGGAGGGTGGCCCATCTGAGTGATGGGTCCACTAATCCACACAAACCGGGGGCTCAAACTGAAAGATCGTGACTTGCCATTTAAGGCAAAGATTGGGACCAGGACATGCCAAAGTTATGGGTTGAGAGGTTGTTAGTTCCTATTCGTTAAGTTCCTTTGATTTTTCCTTTTTTTTTATACGCCTTGTCTCTTTAGGAGTAAGCGGGTCTGTCAGTTATTGAGAGAGGGGCGGTGCGGGCAAGAAACCCCAACCCCAGTTTCAGTGGGGCTTATCACCTGACCGTCTGGAGGGCGGCCCATCTGAGTGATGGGTCCACTAATCCACACGAACCGGGGGCTTGAACTGAAAGATCGCGACTTGTTGTGTTTAAGGCAAACATCGGGACCAGGACATGCCGAAGTTACGGGTTGAGAGTACGGAGTCTACTGACAGATACCGACCAACCAAGCATTGAAGTCGCGGTTTCACTGTCAAGCCTGCGGTGTACCTGACTTGCGACTTCTGAAATAAATACTCGTCGGAAGTCACCGGATAGGCCCAGGGCCAGAAAGCTGAAGAGCCAATGTTTTGGGACCGTGATCTTGCGATTGAATGGCCACGTGACTCACATCCTTACTATCCCTCCACATTGTTTTTCTCTTTAATTTAACTTGTTTTTTTAACTTTAATTTGAATTCTTCCGTGCAATGGGTACTCTGTGGCTAGCTAGCAGAGTCCATGCCTATATATGGTCGTTGACTCGGTGGGCTATATCTCTTTGATAGACAGCTTTTGCATAAATACCCTGTTCTCACGTACTGGCCACAAGCTGTCTTCCTTCTGGCTTAGTCTGTTCTCATTCTTCCTTTTATTTCGCCCCCACTTTCTTCCTTTCACGTAGTGTAAGCAGGGGCGAGCTATTGGCTATGGAAGCTCCACAAGGTAACAGATGCCACGTGGTCAAAACCCTGGAAAACAGAATCCAGGTTGCAGGAAATCCCTGGCCTCAAGGGATTCGGCATTCTTTATTGATGGCTTTGTAGTCAGATTGTATTCAGCACTCTGATAAACTAACTGAGAGGAATGCCAGAACACGTTGTGGGCCACAAAATATTGGACAAGAGGAACAGGGGTGGAGTGGGGGTACATTGTCCTTGGAAGGAGTAATCAATGCCGCTATTTCAGGGTCCCTTGACCATAACAGAAGCAAGCGTTCTGTGGGTGTTCGTGAATGCAAGGGACCCTGGACCTGGTCTCCAGCACATATCATGCACGTATTGGTTTCCTTTCAGACAACAAAAAACGAAAAGAAAGAGAAAAAAACAAAACAAAACGGAGAGCAAGAAGTCACTGCACGCAATTGTAGTAATGGAAAACGAATAGACAAGAAAGTAATGGAAAAAGAATAGGCAATAAAGGAAAAGTATGTGAATGTAGGGGCTTAGTCTGGCCGCTGTTCCTTCAAAATTAATGATATGCTCCGTTTGTCTGTCCAACCGTACCGGTGTTTTAGGAGCCTTTCCACCACAAGTAAAGATGCTTGTATTAGGACACATCTCAGAATTCGTCATACATGTGTGGTACACTGTTGAAGGACAACTGAGTCAGAGCTTCGAAGCAGAGTAAGAAAATGACACACATGCCCATGTCAAACCTGAAAAGGCAGAACAACAAACACAGTGTCTGTGACAAACACAGGACCGCAGACTTTCATAGGATGTTACATAAAAAGAAAGAAAAGGCAGAACAACCCTGGGAACCCTTAAAACAACCCTGAAACCACTTCTGATCTGGCTTTTCTAACGGGTCCACACTGGTGTTCGTGGTTGAATGTGCTCTTCCTTGACTTGCAGAAAGCACGCCACGATTCATCATCCTTTGGTAGCGAACTGAGTTGACAGAGAAATGCTCTTCTGAATTATTTTCATCTAGTATAAGGTCCTCTGACGGCCCTTCTTGGTGCCCTCTTTGGCACTGCTACACTCTGCTGCAGGTGCCCTTGTCTCTGCCACAGTCACTCCAATGTCAGGGTTTCTGCATCCATGTGTTGTGGAGGGCTGCATGTCCTTTCCTGACTGCGGGCACCCTCCAGAGCGGGACCTTGTATGTCCCTGACCACATCCATGTGTTGTGGAGGGCTGCCTGTCCTCTCCTGACTGCGGGCACTCTCCAGAGCGGGACCTTGTATGTCCATTTTGCGGTCAGGGATGTTATAATGAATGGTTGGTCTTCTGTGATGCCCCTTCTTCCTTCCTGGAGCCTGCAACCGACATGCCATTTGCCAGAGTGTTTGGTGGGCATGCTTAACTCCAACCATGATGGCAACAGTTGTGCTGAGAATGCTCAACTAGATCTACATGTCATCACCCCCTTATCCCTACCGTTGATGTCCTCCCTGTTGTCAAGGACAAACTGACTCCTGAGTCTTCTCTTATTCTTCCCTATGCTCCATCTGTGTTCCACTATCCTTACTTTCACTTCGTCTACGTTTGCTTTGTCTTTTCCATCTTTCATCTCTCCGTATCCCCTCTCGCCTGACTCTGCTCCTTAATCACACGCAAAAGGGCTGTTATGGCAGGGGGGGATGTAGGCAGCTCGTGCTCAACTACTACAACGTGCCGAGCCTTGTACGTGAGAGGCACAGTAAAGGGAGAGCCAAAGGATGTGTTTCTTTTCTTCCTTTCTTTTTGCTTTTTTTCCGTTCCCATCAAAATTGGAACAATGCAGAGAAGATTGGCATGGGCCTTGCTCAAGGATGACACACATTAATCAAGAACTGGTCTATATATCTTTCTTAGAATAGAAAAGAATGAAAAAAGCCTACTGCACAGGAAAAGGTGAAAGAGAGGTTTCAGCGTGCTTCATGCTGTCAGCTATTTTCTCCTTTTGTGTTGCAAAGTGCGCTCCATTGGTTAATGGTACTTAATACTACTTGATAGATATGTGACAATATATGAGTGAACTGCTTTCTCAATTATTCCCATTTGCTTCTTGTTGCAGGTCTCATTAGTTCAGGTCACTTAGTTCAAGCTGTGCAATTCATTTCCAGACATCCTCAGTGTCTTGGTGACATTGTCTTCCTGTCTCTGGTAAGTTCTATGCGATTGCTGCTTCATGACTTTGTGACTCATTCTTCCCATCGATGCTTTTCATACTGCGAGGAATGAGCCCTCGCAGGGCCCTTATCAGACATGCTCATGTTCTCGGCAGTGGCCCTCAGCGAGCCCTGTGCCCGCCCTAAGTGAAGGCGGGCCTGAATATTCACAAGAGGCCAAATTTTGACATTTTCCCATATGTGGGTACTCAGACAGTTGCAGCACGCCAGTTGGTTACAAGGAAACGTGAGCCTCCCAGCTCTTTCCAGAAACATGGTACAGTTCAGCCCAGGGCCGAGTGGTTGATCCCTGGGCGCAGTCATTTGTGAGGCCGACACATCACTCAGTGGCACGGGCGAATGAGAATGCAGCATTGTCGTCACACAGCTACCATGAGCCAATGAGAGTGTGGCAAACACTTGTGGCTGGACGTCACCCTGGATGAGCCCAACTGTAGACTTGGGCCTGGGCACAGATACTGGGGCCCAACTGGAAGCTACTGGAAAGCTTCCAGCCAGGCCTGTACACAGCCAACACAGGCTGCCACTTCCATATATTAAGGGGGGCAGCCAGGTTCTGGCATTCTGGCTGCGCAGGCAATGCGGACACGCTGCTGCAATCCAGCGCAAGTGTCCGTTTGCTGCGCTGCTGGCTGGGGCGCACACGGGGCGCTTGGTGGTGAGTGGGGCGCTGCAGGGCAGCGGGGCGCGAGCGGCCATAGCCAGGCTCCACGGCGCAAGGGGGTAATCGGCGACGGTGGTCTTCTGGAAGGAGGCGCGTGTGGGTGGTCAGGGTGTGATGAGGGGCGACGAGATACGTACCTGGTGCATGAGGGAGGTCGGCATTGGTGTTCACGTCATGTACATTGGTCTTCAAAGTCGAAGTGAGCCTGTTGCGTGACTGTGGCTGTAGTAGGATAGGCTAAGTGGAGTAGGAAGGGCACTGGGCGCCATACAGTAGGAGCGAAATTGGATACTGCGTTGGTGTGGCCTGAGGGCTTGAACATTGGCTCATGAGTTCATTGTATCGCTCTTATGTGGGTGGAATCTTGGCACAATTATGCTCTCTGCTTGGTACATGGCTACTTGGTTTTCTGTATATCGTTCTCACTCATATTCCTTGCAATTTGGTACCGGAGCTAGTTCGTGATTGACATTACCTGGCCCTGGTGACATTGTTACTTGGTGCGCTGAAGATGCTTCTGTGCAGTAAGGATACATTGGCGCTGGCTTTATGTGCGACACCCGGGTAGAGGGGTGAGTCGCAGGAAGGCTGTGGCGACAGCGTCGGAGCTTTGGCGACAGCGGATGTATGTATGATGATGAGAGCATGCTGATGTGGCATTTGGCTGAGGTCGCACTGCATTGCGTTGTGGGTGGTACTGACGCTACGACCAGTCATCAAAATGCACTTTCAGCTCAATTGGTGAGAAATCTGTGGTTGGGGGCAACTATCTCCAGGTACGTTGTTCCCTTACCTTATGTACCCTCTCAATCTCTTCTTACCGTGAGGAAGTGAGTCCAACCTTGAGTGCCCTCTTTTCGTGAGGAGTCGTGAGCGCTCTACCTCGAGAGACGACATTCTTCCCGGTGGCGCATTTGGCAGGAGAGGGTGGTGCCTCTGAAGGGCCCTGGTCGAAGCACGGGTCATGGTCACCATGCCAACCCAAGGAAGTAGTGCACGCAGGCTCTTTGCTGCGCTGATAGAGGGGTGTGCAGACTGACCAGTCCTCTGCAGATGCTCACCAGACCGTCTATAAACATTTATGGCGGGGGTTTGAACTGTCCACTGACTGTGATCGTCATCCTGATTGCGACGTTAAATAATTCATGCGGACCGTGGGGGCCGTCCTTAAACTGCCTCTTGATCAGCCAGATCAGTCGGACGTAAGGCTCGTTGCATGCGAGGAGGAAAAAAGGGTAGTACTGGTCATAAGCATACACCTTGGGCACAGGGGTGGGCCGTTAATGCACACCTTAGACACTGCTGCTCGATGATGAGAACAGGCACGTTGGGTTGGGGGGGGGGGGGAGATTCCAATTGAAGCTCAACTGTCAATCACAAACATACCCATTGTGCATACATCTGCTGACATGGTTTATTTTTATTTTTGACTAGTTGGTGGACAGACTGCTGACACCTAACAGACAGCCTAGATTAGTATTGTAGTGTTCTACCATAGCCAGTTCTGATCGAAGCTGTTGTGAGTGAAACTAATCAAGGTAGGAATAAATCATGTGCGTAGTTTGTGTGGTTGTTGTTGACACTGCTTGCAGTAGCTTAGGCAACTCACCGAATATTTATTTATTTTTATTTATTTTTCAACTCGGTCAGGCACACGCTGTGATAGGCTCCAGTGAGATTTATTTTTATTTAATTTTCAACTCGGCCAGACACACACTGTGATAGGCTCTAGTGAGGGCACTAGTGCAGACAGTGTCTGCCTAGCTGATGAGTGGACCAGGAATTGGTGAGGACAGATTTGTAGGAAGGAGGGTGGCACATCAGGAGTCCATTAGGATCCCCATCGTGCACCAAGCTTTACCCCCTGGGGGAGAGAGGGCTTTGCGTCAAGAAGAAGTAGCCAAACGCTTACAAAGGGCTAAAGAAGCGGCAGCAGCAGCCGAGTGAAAGCTTGTAGCGGCAACAGCCACTGCAGCAGCTATGACTACTGCTGCTACTTCAGCCGCTACATCCTGTCAGGTGAGCTTAGGCATGTCGAACACTTCGCAGGCCACGTCCAGCACAGTGGCGTCAAGTAGTTCTTCCAGTCAGATGGCGGGCTCGCAGTTCAGCTCGCCACCTCCACGCACCAGAGAAGCCATCGAACTCCAGCAAGTGGAGTTGATCCGCTTACGGTTAGAGAAGGAACTTAGAGAAGCTACTGAAAGGGAAACAAAGATTAGAATTAGGAAAGCTAGACTAGAGAGTAGGGAGGCAGCACACGTGGTTAATCAAGGGTGTTATTTTCGACGAATTTTGCACCGAATTGCACTGAAACTGTCATATTGTGCAGATTTTTTGCTTTTTTTCTTGTTTTTCTTTTTGTGTGATATATATGTGCTTTAGGGTACGTCATGTGTGCAGTTTTGACATGTTTGGATCAATAATGAAAAAATGGCATTTTGTTGACTTCGTTGGACGCTTCATTCTGACTCGGACAGTGTCTTTGTGTTAGGGTTTCGTGATGTTTTTTTGTTTTTTTTTGCGTTTTGCACTATGGTCTCATATCGTTTGTTTTTAAAATTTGTGATGAAATTCGCACTGCAATTGCCAACGAAAACGCCGAATATTTGGGCCCCCGTTAACCATCTCTCGTAGAAGGGTTCGATGACGCTGTCATTGATGACAACACACGGATCCTCAAGGCAGGTCTCTTGTCCATGCATGCATACATGGGCAACAAACTGGATGCTATCTAGGACACCCTTGACCAGATACTGAGCACCATGCAGGGGTTGGGAAGAGCTTTCCCATCTCCAACAGGTGGGCCTAGTTTCAGGCCTCCAGTTTTCTCATCGTCGGTTTCCTCACTGGTGATGACTAGTCCTACTATGTCTCAGTTTAGCAGTTCACCAAGCGGTACGTCAACAGCAGCGTCACAAACTGCTGCTTCTTCATCTTCTAGTCCAGCGGCGGTAACTACACAACCGCTGGTCCCACCACAGGGACAACAACAGCCTTGGTCCCCCAAAACTCCACTGAAACCACCCTCAACCTTCTCAGGTGATAAGAAGGATGAGGCTCTCGACACTTGGTTGAGAATGGCGCCAGTGTGAGTGAGGGCAAAGAGGACGCTGGTAGAGGAAGAGGTGATCACTGCCGCATCCTATCTGGAAGGTCCGGCAGCACGATGGTTAGATGGATTAGTGGCTTCAAAGGGATTCGGTTGGAACATGAGCAATTGGGCGAAGACCTATACCTTAGAGAGTTTTATGGAGTTGGTAGAAGCGTGATGGCACAACCCATAGCAGGCCCAACAGGCCACTGACACATTGGCCCGACTTGATACAAAGAAGTACAAGACCATGCGCAAACTTACCTCTATCGTAGAACGTCTCATTCTGATCCCTGGAGTACGCTATCATCCACAGGTCCTACTGACCATATATTTGAGATGTCTTCCCACAGACATCAAGAACTTGTTGGTTAGTGAGGCCAAAATCGAGTATCACACGTTGGATTCCTTCAGCAAAAGAGCCGTAGGCTTACAGGCTACACTAGGAGGAGCTTAACAACCCTCTATTGATGGGAGAAAGAAGAAGAGTCCACAAGAGTGGAAGGAAAAGGGAAGTGGATTGATGATGGTTGATTCTGATAGGAATCAAACTGAAATCGATGATGTATCTGACCTTGTGGACGATTCAGAGTTGGTCGGCGAGGAGTAAGCGGAGGGTAGCAGCCTTGCCTCCTTGGTAAAACTTAAGCCTGGTCGCCCGCCAAGGGCAGTCAACCAAAGAGTCAAGGGCAGACCCAAAACCCCAACAAGACTCCAGCTTGGGTGCGGGCGAGTTTGGATCAAGATGTGTGGCGAGACCGGTATTCGCGAGGTGCTTGCGTCAACTGCGGCGAGTATGGCCATCAACAGTTTAGATGCAAGAACGAGAAGGTAACACAAAGGATAGGTCCCAAAGGTGGCTTTAAAGGATCTTTCTTCCAGAGTGGGACTTCTACGAGTTCTTGTTCGGGAAACACATAGGGCCAGTAGAAGTTATAGCTGCTTCTTCTCCTGATGGAGTGGGCGATGTACCCTCCCCACTTCAAGAGTTGGTCGAGGCTATTGACTCTTTAGTCACCCCACAGACGCATCCTGACCCTGCGATACTCTGTTCTTGGATGTGTTTGAAGCCTTAGAAGACTTACAAACCGAGCGGTCGACAAGGGATCCTCAAGAGTTTTGGGTGGCACTAAGTCGTGGTCCTAGAGGGGAGCATTTCATTGTGGAAGTTGGTGTAGGTGGCCGCAAGTGTGGTGCCTTCGTAGACATCGGCTCC